CTTCTTCTTCTTCTTCTTCTTCTTCTTCTGCTTCTTCTTCTTCTTCTTCTTCTCCTTCTTCTTCTTCTTCTTCTTCTTCTTCTTCTTCTTCTTCTTCTTCTTCTTCTTCTTCTTCTTCTTCTTCTTCTTCTTCTTCTTCTTCTTCTTCTTCTTCTTCTTCTTCTTCTTCGTCCAAATCCTACGCACCCTTGTCCAAATTGCATGTAGCCTTCTTGTAAGGCTTTGGAAAGCTTGAAAGCCTCACTTGAAGGCCACACGTGATTTGGAGAATGGTGCTTGCCGCCTTGGGAAGAAGGCCCGATGCAGCCAACAGCTGCCTCATGAAGGGCCAGATCAGGCCTGTCTCGTCAACAGTGGGAGGAAGAAGATGGCGAAGGTCAGCTGGGGATGGCAGGTTGAGGCAGTGGTGTGCGAGCCGCCAAAAGGACAGAGATGAAGAGGAAGATAGATAGGGAAAGTTGTGGTGCCTCTGGGCAACCCACTAAACACTCAGATGTTGATCAAGTGCAGTTATAGCTACTCACATGCTGTAACTTTGGGGACTAGGTGTAACTATCATTTGTTCAGCACTGCCATAATTTTGAATGGTTGCTAATGGTCATTAACTGAGGACTACCTGTACTTTGATTCTCCTCCCTCTGCCTCTTCCCTCTAGGCCCCAGAGGCTGATTATCTGGAAGCCTGTGTGGTGTCGGTGCTGCAGATTCATGTCACCCAGCCCCGAGGGGACATCCTTGTGTTTCTGACTGGCCAGGTAACTCTTGGGTGTTTTCTCCTAATTCACTCTGCCATTATTTAATCAATATTTTACTATAATAAGTAGAGCTTAACTTCTCTTTCTGTTGGCAGGAAGAAATTGAAGCCTGCTGTGAGATGTTACAGGATCGTTGCCGGCGCTTGGGCTCCAAAATTGCAGAACTTGTGGTCCTCCCAATTTATGCTAATCTGCCCTCCGACATGCAAGCCAAGATCTTTGAGCCGACCCCACCAGGGGCCCGAAAGGTAAAAAACTGATTGTGCAAAGCAGGAAAGGAAGGTCTGGCTGTTTGAGGCCAAACCGTGCAGCGTGGCTGGCTGAGGAATTCTGGAAGTTGAAGTCCACAAGGCTTAAAAGTTGCCAAGTTTGGAGACCCTGATTTAGAGATTTGCATTTGAGATGTTTGGAAATTGTAGGTCGTTGAAAGAAAATGAATATTAGGGGTGTTGCACAAAAAGGAGAAGAGGTTTTGTTTTGAGAATGAGGTAAAACAGCCAGGTTGGCAATATAACAGAACACATTCTGAATTCCTCAAGTGTTGCATGTTTTATTTGTTGAACATTTCAAATATTTCACTGTAGAGACAATAGGAATGCAAAACAAGTGTCTTCTTATGATGGTGTGGTAATGCTTGCTGACTGCTACCTAATTCTCTACCTACAGAGGAAAAATGGGATGATTTTTTTAAAAAAAAAATTGAAGTGATATCTTTAAAGCCTGCTGTTATCTGTCTCCCTACACCAAGGGTAGGGAACCTTGGCTCTTTTATGACTCGTGGACTTCAACTCCCAGAATTCCTGAGCCAGCCATGCTGAGGGGAAAGGGAGAGGTTTCCAAGCTGAGCCATGCTGGCTCAGGAATTCTGGGAGTTGAAGTCCACGAGTCATAAAAGAGCCAAGGTTGCCTACTCCTGCCCTACACCAACTATCACAGACACTCAATAAAGAGCAATACTGTATACAGCATTCGATAGGAAACCACAAACAACAACAGTAAAAACAAAACCACATTTCTAGCTCTTGACTCTTCATATTGTCCAAGAATATGCCCATTTCTGTATTTGCAGCCTGCCAGGAATACTTGGCAAAGAAACATACTGTTTTTGCAATTGACATGTAGAAAATTCAGCATCAACAGAGCATGCACAACAAAGAAATAAAAGCCAATTGAATATGTATTTTACAACCTGCAGTCTGAAAGCTCAACAGTATTATTAACGATGCTTATGAAATGTACACATTGCATAATGCATTTTCATTTGCCTATTGGCTGCCAGTCAACAAAAGAAAGCCCAATATATGCACAACTCTTGCACAAAATATATCTCATAACCTCTAACCTCCCTAGAGGAAAGAATTTTTGAAAAAGCCCTACAGGCAGAAAAATTTTAGCAGTTCTGACATTTGACATTAGCCTTTTCAAAATTGCCTTTGAATATAGGTGCAACATTTTGTCTTGACACAGATAGGTGAGTGATCACCTTCCAACAGCTGCAGCATTTGGTTCAGTGTGTACTTAATCAGCTGTTGCTTTCCCCTAACTCAGGGGTAGGCAACCTTGGCTATTTTATGACTCGTGGACTTCAACTCCCAGAATTCCTGAGCCAGCATGGCTCAGCTTGGAAACCTCTCCCTTTCCCCTCAGCATGGCTGGCTCAGGAATTCTGGGAGTTGAAGTCCACGAGTCATAAAAGAGCCAAAGTTGCCTACCCCTGGCCTAACTCTTCTTTCTTCATCTTGTCTGAAGTCAGTAATGTAGGAATGTAATTGGCCTAACACACTTTACTGACTGTCCTGGATTTAAGGAAGGAAAAAAAAAATCAGAAAGTCAATTACAACATGAAAGAAAAGGAACCAAGACAATCAGATTTTTTGCCTTTGTAGTAAATATATTTGAAGCTGCTTTACCGAGACCTATGCCATTTCTCCATATAGTATTTTTTATTTGTATTAGCAAATTCTTAGGCAGAGATCCTTCAGAGACTTCTTCCATATAATGTTTTTAATGAAGAAATCAGGGTTACAGCTGGATCTTCTTCATTAGTTAATGTTGTATTCTACATATTATTTATTTGTTTGAATAGTCAATTTGGATGTTGCCAAATCTATTAGAATCATGGCGACTTGAAAAAAAGTGTAAAAACAAATTGAAAACATCCATGGTAAAAAAAATGTGCAATATATAAATAAGCTACAAAACGATATATGACAGCAAATAAATTAGCTAAGAGAATCACATTCCAGCTAGCACATAGGTCCTCCCCAAAGGCCCTACTGAACAGTGGGGTCTTTGCTACCTTTCAGGAGACCCTCATCAAGCTCCTAGAACAGCATTTCTCAACCTTGGCACCTTGAAGATGTGTGGACTTCAATTCCCAGAATTCCCCAGCCTTCAAGCTGCCATGGTTAAAACATCTTTCCAAGGAGTAGATGCCATGATCAAAAAAATATTAACTTCTGCTCTGAGGACCCTTCATCTCCTGGAATTACAGGGTACTATAACTTAAAACATTTATAGTGAAGTTTAGGTTATGAGAAGTAGCAGCCTTACACAATCAGTTATGAGTATCTCTTTTCTCCTCAGGTTGTCGTGGCCACAAACATAGCAGAGACATCACTGACCATAGATGGCATAATTTATGTGATTGACCCTGGGTTTTGCAAACAGAAGAGTTACAACGCTCGCACGGGCATGGAGTCACTTATTGTTACCCCCTGTTCTCGGGTATCTGCTTTCAGTACTTCACTTCCCCATTCCCTTCCCCATCCAACCTGTCTCATTTGCTGAGCTTGAATGTCTTCAAAGTTATCTGAAGCTCTCATTTAATCTGGTTCCCTTATTCACGTTGGTGTTAATGTTTTGCAGGAAGTAATTTGTTAAGAATGTAGTTAATCTGGAAACTGTTAAAAAATAAATCACAAGACAATGAAAAATTATCAGGGATTTATGATTCTGTAAAGCTATGAAGATGGGCAGAAATCACTTTTATAATATAACGCATCCATGTAATGGTATTCACCAACCCACCAGTGGTGAAGCTGTAACCCTGCAGGTGTCTTAAGGAAAATAGTTAGAAAGCACACATAATATATAGACCAGGGGTCTTCAAACTTGGCTCTTTTATGACTTGTGGACTTCAACTCCCAGAATTCCTCAGCCAGGCACGCTGGCTGAGGAATTCTGGGAGTTGAAGTCCACAAGTCATAAAAGGGCCAAGTTTGAAGACCCCTGATATAGGCCAAAGCAAGGGGTAGTTGGGCAAGGATTCTTAAGTGAGTATTATGGTGTCAAATGAATTCTCTTGTGATAATGGAACCATTAATAAAAAATGATCAGAGCATCCTTTCTAATTGCAGTCTCTGAATGTTGAGGAAAATTGGGATTTTCTGAAATCTAGGTTTTTGAAATACACTTTATTCATTGTGGACATTATAATATTACTAGGAACTTTTAGAAATTTGCAGTGGTGGTGTGTTTGTGTAGATTTTAACAGGCTTGCAGTTTATGCCAATCCAAAAATTCTGAGTAGCTTACATTGTGCCATATGTAAAGGTTAAAATAACAAACAATAATCAAGTCAGAATATCTGTAATTAAATCTAGATGATCAATTTATTTATATTTTATTTATTTATATTTGAATTTATATCCCGCCCTTCTCCCGTAGGACTCAGGGCGGCTGACAATCAATTAAAAACATAAATAACAGTACAAATTTAAAATTAGTTAAAAGAAATATTTAAATATTTGTCAAATTTAAAATATAATTAAAACCCCTCTAAAAAATTACCCTAGGCCAGTCCTGCACGCTGGAACAGCCAAGTCTTGAGAGCGCGGCGAAAGGAAGGGAGATCAGGGATAACCCTGATCTCTGGGGGCAGTTCATTCCAGAGGGTGGGGGCTCCCACAGAGAAGGCCCTCCCCCTCGGGGTCGCCAGCCGGCACTGCCTGGCTGACGGCACCCTGAGGAGACCCACCCTGTGGGAGCGTACTGGTCGATGGGAGGTGATCTGCGGCAGAAGGCGGTCTCGAAGGTATCCAGGTCCGATGCCATGGAGCGCTTTAAAGATGATAGTCAACACCTTGAAGCGCACCCGGA